TCGCTTTTAGGATGTAACTAGCAATCCACAGAATCCACAGGTCATACATTCACCTCCCAAAATTCCAAGCTCAGCACTGTAGGCTGCGGGTCACGTGCCCCAGTCAACCTCTGTAGTGGTAGCGGCATATCTAGATTTTGACTCGCATCTGTATGTAAGAACCTTTTCTCCGGTGAACCGCCGAGATCCACCCAACCCTTCACGGACCCCAGAACGACCTGCCATCGCCAGGGGCTAAGGTGGGTGCCCGCTTCTTCCCCATGGCGGCAAAGCAGGAGATGGCAAAGCTTGCTCCTAGTAGTAAGGCCAGGAGCCCCTAGTAGCGTCCGATCGCTCCTAGTAGCGACGCCCTTAGCTGTTGGAAGCTCTTGGGTGTGTCTTTAGGAGTGTGCACGGGCATTCGCCGAGATACACGGGTCTTTTCAATGTCTTGTACACACATGGTCCAAGGGCTATCTACGATGATGGGACGATGTAGAAGGGGATGGGGAAGATGTTTCGAGTGGTTTTCGCTCTATACCGGTCTTTGACTGTGGTATGTCATTTGGAGCGACATCTTTGTTTTGCCTTTTGTTTGGCTCATCAATCTGACTCTAAGACACCCATAAATAAAGAGATCAGCTCGTTTGCTGGAACCTTTGACTTTGTCATTGGCCAACTTTCCCAGTCACTGGGATTGGAAATAAGTCCAAGGACTTATCTTACGACCCTAAATGTTAGAGAGGCTTGTTTCTTGGTCTTGCGAGGGGTTCTCTTCATCCATCGATGTCCAAAGAGCACGGAACACTCCGAACCCAAAGGAAACAAGTTGCTGAGGATCTCCTGTTGGAAAGGTGACCTGTTCCGTTCTATCTTAGGCTCTTTTGGCTTCTTTTGTTGCATTTCATTGGGCATCCTTCAAGCCGAAAGCCTGAGGTGGGACATCCCATGGCTAAACTGAGCTGTTTTGGTGCTGAGGAAGCTCTTGCGACATCTTGGAACCTGAAAGGAAGGCAAGGTCTCGGTATGAATAGTTGTCACAGCGCTTCTTCAAGGAAGCTCCCTACCACTCTCAGGCCTGCTGCGGCCTACCGCCCCGTCCCCGGTGCCTTCTCTAAGGGTGTTGCAGAGCCGATGACACGGCCCAGGATCTTCAGCACCTTTTCGTCAGGTCGCTCCAAAGACTTACTGCGGTCAACGCGAACGTCTTTCGGTGGAGACAATGTTTTTCACCTCGAAGAAAACGCAGTGGAGAAAAACCAATTGAAACACTGAAAAAACACGGAAAAACACACGAAGTCACTATGGTTTTTCCAACAGACAGTTTCACAGCTCTTGTTGCAACTCCTGCCACAAGCAGGACTCAAAACAGTCCCACTTGCTGCGTCGTGTTGCGTCTGTGGAATGCCGTCGGTCCAAGAGCTACCGCACCGTCTCGCCGGAGAGCTGCTGTTGGAGGTGGCCTTCTGCGAAAGCCATCAGCCTCACGGGCGATTGACGTTCGAGTGAAGATCTTGAACTCTCGGGGAACCCGACACCAAAAACAAAGAAGTGAAACTCTTGAACTCCGTTGCAAAATCGCACATGTTTGAGTTTTGGATCTTCAAACCTTCTGCCACGGCAATACAGTGGTGGGGGTTCACTCATGGTTTTGGGATAGCCCTTGGTTCAGTTCCAGCTTTCAGGAATTTGAAGGTGCCGTTTCACTACGACCTGAAATCTGCGTCCGATGCATGATCATGTGCGGTCCAATATTGCTACTAGGAGCAAGGACGCTACTAGTAGCTCCTGGCCTTACTACTAGGAACAAAAAGCTACTAGTAACAAGGGCATCGCTACGAACGGAGCAAGAAGCTTTTGTGTGAAAAACAACTCCTTCAGCCTCGCTGGTCGCCCTCGACGTCCGCCCCCGTCGCCTGGGCAGCCCGAAGCTTTGTGCCAGGTCGCGGACGTTGAACGCCAACTCCGGCTCCACCGAGGCGGCGTCCTCGGTGAGGTTTCGGGTAGGAACAGGTGCATCGCTAGTAACAAGTGCCTTACTAGTAGTAACAAGAAGCTACTAGTAACAAGTGCCACGCTAGTAGTAACAAGTGCCTTACTAGTAACAAGAAGAATTTAATTGTAATTACTAGCAAAGGAATCTACTGATGTGAACATTTCACTCCTCCACCTGGTAGCTTCTTGATACTAGTAGTAAGGATGCTCCTAGTAGCGATGCCAGGAGCCCCTAGTAGCGTCCTTGCTCCTAGTAGTAAGGCCAGGAGCCCCTAGTAGCTTTTTGTCCAATCCGTCCTGTTTTGCTCCTAAGATCACTTGAAATGGCGCTGGGTCGGTAGCCGCTGTAGCCAGTCGAAGTCAGCTCTCTGGGAGTCCACACCCATCGGTCCGTCATCAGGAACCGCAAGAGCACGGTGAAGGACTTCACATCCTTGGTCGACCAAACCAACTTCCAAAACGGTGTGCACCGAAATATGGGGAAATTTGTCGAAGAATCAGTGGCACCCCGGTTGAATGGCTTGGGTGAGAGCCATGTTTGGATTCGGAGGTCTTGAGTCACATTTGAGGAGGGGCGGACCTTCAAATAGGTTGACAAAACGATGTCAGTTGCCAGGAAAAGAAGACATGTATATAGTGACTTCTTGAAGAACATGGTCCCAAGTTAGCTGGCAGGAGAAATCACACACTTGCCTGTTCTGCTGTTATTCTGTGACCCATTGGGTCCTTAGCCTTGACCAGACCAGTGCTGTTGATGGAAAACATCGCGTGTATCCAACTATTGTAGTAACAGGTGCATCGCTACTAGTAACAAGTGCCTTACTAGTAGTAACAATAAGAATTTAATTGTAATTACTAGCAAAGGAATCTACACAACATCGAGGGGTCTACCATGCCCTTCTGGACTTCCAAACCCACATATCTTGCTGGATCGCATGTCCCCCTGTCTTTCAACCATTTCACTTTGTCAGGCGAATGAAACAAAGGACTTTCGAGAGGAAAAGAGAGAACACAGAAATGTTTGGAACCCTTTAAAGGGACCTTACTATTACAGCGGGCCCAAACACTTTTAACTCCTTTTGTAACCAACCAGCGGTTGGAACGGGGATCTGGACGGCTAAGTCTGGCCCAAGACTCCGCTGCGGCTTCACCAGTGAGATCGATCTCGGTCATCGTCTGGGGAGTCGTCGAGTCAATCGCGCACGCTACTAGGAGCAAGGACGCTTACTAGGGGTTCCTGGCCTTACTACTAGTAACAAGAAGCTATTAGAAACAAGAATTAGAAATGAAAGTCGAATTTAGTTCAAATTGAAAGAAGAAGGTACTAGGACCTTCTCGCTCCACGCACGCGCGCGCGCGCGGCGGGGGGGTTGGAGCAAGGACGCTACTAGGAGCAAAGGGCATCGCTACTAGGAGCAAGGTCGCTACTAGGGGCGCCTGCCAAAGTAACGAAGCAATGAATGTGGTGGGATACTCTGTCGAACTCATTACCCAAATGAAATTGTTTGGCCCCCTTGCTCCTATCTCTGGAACCAATCAGTACCTAGTAGAGTGGCGAACTTCTGCGAACCTTCACTACCACAAAATTCCTTCAATCTACACTCCCCATAGCTGTGGAAGGCCTTGTCCTTCCTATCCAAACATGGGAAAGAAGCTACTAGCAACAAAGGGCATCGCTACTAGGAGCAAGAAGCTACTAGGGGCGCTCCTGGCATTACTACTAGTCACAAGCAGCTACTAGTAGCATCCTTGCTCCTAGTAGTAACTCAATGCCTGGTCCGCCATGAGGAGCTTCCGGAAGTGCTCGGAACGGGCCAAGAGGATCCTGCGGAAGGGGGGGCAGCTTCAGTCGGGAGAATTCGGGAAAGATTAGTAAGGTGCCTTGTTACTAGTAGTAAGGCCAGGAGCCCCTAATAGCTCCTATAGTAGCGATGCCCTTGTTACTAGTAGCGATGCACTTGTTACTAGTAGCTTCTTGTTACTAGTGGTAATGCCAGGAGCGCCCCTAGTAGCTTCTTGCTACTAGTAGTAAGGTGCCTTGCTCCTAGTAGGTAGCTTCTTGTTATTATAACAAATGCATTTCGGATTTCGCTCGTGTAGGATTTTTTAATTCCAAAAAGTTTTCTCTGCTCCCGCTAGGTGTAAAAGAAGAGACTGCATACAAAGCAAACGCAACCACGAAAGAAGTGAGAAGAAACGTTGAAACGCAAAGTGCGAGTTTCCCATGGAACTGAGCAAAAACATGTTCAGTTCTGTCCGTCCGCCATGCTGCTCCTCCGGCTTGCGCCGATTCCCCCCATCCCTGGTGGAACATTAACTAAATTGTAATTTAAATTCAAATACTACTTCTTGTTTCTAATAGCTTCTTGTTTCTAGTAGTAGGGCCAGGAACCCCTAGTAGCGTCTGATCGCTCCTAGTAGCGATGCCCTTTGCTCCGTTCGTAGCGGCCTCCCCGCTCCTCCGGTCGACATGGAGCTTGGCTTTGCAGCGCAGCCGGAAAGCCACGCTGGAGACCGGCTCCGCGAGGTCAATCCCGGTGAACTGCTGATGCGCCAGCTGCACCTCTACACCGACGAGCGAGGGAAAGGTGAAAAGAAATTGTATCATGTGCTATCCTAGTAGCATCTCTTAGCATTCTTGCTCCTAGTAGCGATGCCCTTTGCTCCTAGTAGCTTCTTGTTCCTAGTAGCTATGCTAGGAGCCCCTAGTAGCATCGTTGCTCCTACTCTACCAACCCATCAACGTTGCATTTTGGTGCTGTGGGACCTGTGACGGTCAGGCCTCGAAGCCAGGTTAATTTTTGTGCTTCGATGCAATTTGCAAACCAACGCAAAAACAACTGCAAACCACCAAAACATCATATGAACGCTCAATGAACATTAGCAATCACAGAGAGGCCCTTCAGCAATGTCTGTCGACCACGGACATATTTGTGAGAAGAATCAGCAAACTTCAATTGCAATTGGGGGGCAAAGGGCATCGCTACTAGGAGCAAGGATGCTACTAGGAGCTCCTGGCCATACTACTAGGAACAAGAAGCTATTAGAAATAGGAATTGGAATTGAAATTAGAATTAACATTTTAAAGATCTAATTAGAATCTAATTGGAGCTGAAAGAAGAAGCTACTAGGACCTTTCCGACATGCCCAATACCTTGGAGACCGGAAACTCCAGTCGTCTACTCGTTACCTAAAGCTCCCCGATTCCGAACATGTCATCCCAAGCGCAGGGGGAGGGAATCTCAAGTGGTGCAGGAGAAGCTATACAGTGATGGTCGACAGTGCCTCGTGATCTTCCTCCAACGAAGCGACCAGCAGCTGTGCCCCCTGAGTGACAAAACACGATCTTTGAGCCAGCACGGAGGAACCAACTGGATGCAGGCAGCTTGCCTGTATACGGTCATGACCCCTGGTGTCGGGTCTTTCATACTTCTTTTACAGGCAATAGTGTGGTTAGTGGTATGCTCTCTTTGATGCTTCTCACCTCTTTTGGTTGCTTATGGTGCTTCGAAGGGGGCGCAAAGCGTCGCAGCATCCGGAGAGTACTTCTCTTGCTAGTCCTTCAGCAATTCACTTGTGGCATCCCGACGACAAAAAAGGTCAAGGGAGAGGATGACGATGATGACCATGAACATGGCAAAGGAATGCGCAACGTTCAAATGGGTCAAGGGTTCAAAGGTGACTTTAAGTCCTCTCCTATTGCCTTTTGCACTTTGTTTGCGAGCATCTTTCCCCATCAGTATGTCTGTCTCTGGCATCCGCTGTCTGTACTGGCGGCGGATAGCAAGGTGCACGCTGAAGCTACAGCGGTGAAATGGGGCTTCTTAACCCTCATGTCTTGAGCTTTGTTGTGTTCGCTGAGCCTGTCGCAAAAAGTTGGTGGATGACAACCCGACGGGTGGGGACAGCTTTGGGTTGAGAAGCCACGTTTTGCAACTCTCCAGCCTCATGAAGGTAGGCTAAGTGTAAAGGCAGGTGCACCCGCAAGCAGTGGCAGGTGATTCATCAACGAGCTTGCGGTGGCCAATACAACGCGAAGAATGTCCTGCAAGGCGGCATGAGTGGGTTCAAGCACGAGCTATCCTAGAGCATGACGGTGACGCAAACGACTCACTCCATTTCAGTTCAAGTCAAGTGTGTCCTCGAAGATGCCTCCTGCGAAGCCTCCGAAGCCAGTGTAGGTAGGTTCCGATTGCTTCTGCCTTCACGGCACTGGTGAGGGTTCCTAAGCCACTTGAGATGACACTTGCGAGGACGAGTGCGAGGAAGAGTGTAGCCATAGCCAACACTATAGCCGCTTTCATCGGCTCGGACAATGGCATTGCGCTGTCCGCGTGAGAATGGGTGCCTCATGGTGCTTGCGCCTGTTTGCGTTATCTATCCTGGAGAACAAAGCCTCATCAAATCGGCAATTGCAATACCTACATCCCCTCACTCAAACCAAACAATGACGTGAAAGTTCGAGGCAACATTGTCCCACAATCATAAAACATTCAAGGTAAAGATGAAACATTGAACATCAACATAAAAACCATAACAACCAACAAACAACCTCAAGATGTCCCAGCATCCATCGTTTACAATTTTTTTCACCTCAGTGAACTTGGAGGGGTCCAACTCCTCCAGCTGTTTTTCCAGTTGTTGAAGCTGCTCCTGAGCTTGGTAAAACTAATAGCGTCCTTGCTCCTAAGATGAATCAGAAATACCAATCAGTTGAAGGTTTCTTGTTTCTTTTTGGAGGATCTGATCTTAGGAGGAAGTGATCCGGCAGTAGGGTGGTTCTCCAATCTGACTGATGCTTTGAAGATGGATCAACCAGTGGTACCAGTAGGGGGTTGGGCTGAACATCCATGTACCAGCTATTTGGGTGTTTCACAAAAATTACGACTCCCAATCAAGATCTCCTTTGCAACCGGAGAAGTGAATTGCGCCAATCATCAACAGTGACAAATCAGGTCAGTTCCTCAAAACAAGACACCAATTTCACATTCCCATGAACAGTTAGTAACAACTGCATCGCTAGTAGTAACAAGTGCCTAAAAAGCTTCGCCCAAAAATAGCTTTGTCTTCTACACGGTAGCACCGTCGCCGTCGCCTGACCCACGTACTGCACCACATAGACCTGCAACAGCTGCACACGGCGAAACACGCCGTGATGCGGAGGCGGTTCCGCCACCTACAAAGGTCACCAGACATTAGACCTGACGTAGAAGTGAGATGCATGTTGCAAAAGGTATGTTTTTGATTGGTGCGTAGTCCATGAAAAAGATCTATTTTGCGCTGGGTTCTTTGGAATCTCATCCTATTCCACTCTTTGGGAACAATCACAGGCGTGAAAAGAACCACTCCAGCCACTCTAACCATGACCGCGAAGAATCTCGGTGTACCAAAAGCACGACTTTGCCCATGTGTCGGTGGACCCTACCGGTGTTCTATGCAGGAGCTGACTTGCAGCGCAGCTCTCGGAAAAACGCTTGGCTGCATGTTTTGGTGTATCTGAACACTCTAAGCTGAGAACCTTTGAGCCTGAGTGGGCGCAACAGAATTATATAGTAGGACATGGTTTGAACAGAAAACATTCCTCTTCCTCCGGTTGTAATACGCATGCGTGCGTTGCGCCCCTGTTCTGCCTCACGCTCGGAGGCACAGTAGGTCAGCAGGCCGTTGTGATCGACACCTTCGAAGATCACCTGGACAGGGACGGTTTTGGAAAGAAGAACATCTCAAAATTCGCCAGTCAAAGTAGGGAGTCTACAGTCTTCTGAAATCAATTTTGTCCTTTCCAAGTACCTCAATGCCACGTACTTGGCCGTACAAAAGGCCCGTTCATGAAGCAAATACCACTTGGATACTGTCTACATGGGTAAGTGCCTGGGTTTTGGAAGGAGAAGACCCATTTGACAAAATGGCTAAAGGAAGTGTTTGGATATCAAACATCGGGCATGCCTTTGCTGTTTGAGTACATCCTCCATGAACGATTAGATATGGATGGACACAAGGACACGACGAAGGGTTTGTTTCGACCACCAGCACTTCTCAGGCATTCCCATTTTAAGAAACCACCAATTCTTCTCTGAAACCAATCCAAACAGGCCATGACAACAGCCCACTGGCACCATTCCAGAAACCTCCCAGACTCCCGCGCGAAGCAAAACTGAGCCAAAGGGCACTGTTCACTTCTAAGGTCTTCAGATCCAATCGGCACCTGGATAGAAAAGCCAACCAGTCGCTTTCGTGGCCATCGCACTTTGCTCTGTGAAAAGCCAGTCGTTTGTGAAACGGTTCTTCAGGTTCTTTGCCTGCCTCTTGCCAAGATCCAAAGCATGCTGCTTTTTTTAAAATGCATTCAAGGATAAAATAAAGCACCGACTGGCTCAAGAGATCCATTTTCAGTGAAATCCATGGCACCCTACCGAACCTCGTTATGGAATTCATGACTCTTTCTGCTGACATTTTGTTTTCCTTATTCTTTCAAAAGGTCTTTTCCTTCGTTGTGTTCTTTCTGTAGACTGTAGACCTTTCTTTTTCGTTCCTTTCTTCCTTCCCTATCTTTCTTGTATTACTTCGATATCTCCTCCACTCACTCCCTAGACCGAGGTTGGGTTGCCGACCGAGGCTCCACACTGCCGCCATTGGTAAATGGCAGGCCCTTCGGTGCGCATGAAGAGGTACCTGTGACGAAACGCCCAGCGGCCTTTCACCGATGGGCAGCACCCTAGCCCCGTTCGTAGCGTCCGATCGCTCCGTGCGTAGCGATGCCAGGAGCCCCGTTCGTAGCTTCTTGTTTCTAAGAGTCTGTTGCAGGTCACCAGTTTTTGTTGGGGATTGGCTTCCTGACCTGCAAATCATGTTTGTAGCCCACCTGCATGATTGGCTTTGAACATCAGTCACATCTCGGTTTGGTTCCAGGGCTGCTGCATCCCTGTCGTTTCCACCTGGACGTTCATCCAAAAAGAGCACAGCCCATGCTAAGTCTAGTATCGAAACTACAAGCTATAACCTGTAGTTCAATAACTTAAGTTGTGACTCAATAAGTAGTTGTATCGGACAGAACGATGTGAGCATCGATTTTCTGGACGCACCTGTCGTTCACCACTGGCCGTTTCAGGTGCCAAAAGCGCGCCAGCTGACCTGCTCCAGCAACGTGCGCAGGCGCGACGCATGCGGGATGGATGGCAACGGTTTTTACACCCCACTCCCCTTCAAACACATACAACACATTCAAAACACATTCTCTACTCTAGTTCAACTGAAAGTGTTCAGAATGCGAGCTGAATTTGGGGTGAGATTTTGGACAATGCAACTAATGGCCTGCGATGGCACAAACAACTTTTTCGATGCTCCACATAGGGGCATGGGATTGGGCTGGTGAGTCACCATACTGGTAACCATGTAAAGTTGACTGACCCATACCTGTGGCTCCATAGACCCTCATCCCAAAGGTTGCTTGGGGAGGGCTGGTGCGATGGCGTTCTATCTTCATGGCTATGAGGAGACCTTCATGTTCTCCAAGCCTGCCATTCACCAACTGAAAAGTTGGTGTACCTGTTGTAATAATCATAGGGCAATCTGCCATAAACGCTAGTAGTAACAATAAGCTACTAGGAACAAGTGCGTCGCTTCTAGTAACAAGTGCCTTACTAGTAGTAAGAAGAATTTAATTGGAATGCTGCTTAGACTAAGCAAAACTTTCAGAATTGTTTTCGTGTTCAAGAGTCCGGACTGACTTGTCCGTGTTACTACTAGTAAGGCACTTGTTACTAGAAGCGATGCACTTGTTCCTAGTAGCGAACATTGTTTCTAATGAGCAAACCTTTCAGATGGGATGCTGCAGCACGAGAGTCCAGCCTGACACCGCTGTGAATCCTTCTGGGATCACAATGTCATCACTCACTCCCATCACAGCCTGCTACATGGTCCCTCATTCAATGGCTGCCCTTTGCTACCCCACGAGCGAGAGGTTAGATGGTGCTTCAGGACTGGGTTTCAGTTGCAATACATCCAAATGCCAGATGACCCTGTTAGTTGCACAAAGGCCAACTCTTTTTGTCACACCAGCCCTGCAGTGTCTTTCTTGCCTACACCATCTTTGCTGCCCCAATGTCTGAGATCTCCTGAGTCAGCGGCCATGATATTGAGGAGATTCTTCCCATCGACTCAAGCAATTGGGAACAGCATGTTTTTTCATTCAGTTCCCACCTGGGGCAACCCGCCAAGTGGTGTTCATCCAAAAAAACAAGACTGAAGAGCTACTCTTGTCAGCCTGTTCACATGCTTAATCCACGAACCTGTCCAGAAGTCAACTTGCCCTACTGCTGAGCTTTCAAAAACACCTTGAGTGCATCCTGTTGCTAAGTACTGCAATATGCCGCTGTACTACTCAAGCTCCTTGGCAAATGGTAGCAAGAATAACATCTTCCATTCTGTGGTTCTTTGCTTTCAAAAACATACCCACATTGCAGGTAGGACCTAAGCCCCTCCACCATCCATCCCTGCGGGCCAAGTCCCATGCCGGCCAGCAAAGTGATCTGGCCCCAGTGTGGCCGTGTACGGTGGTCGGGTGAAACGAAGTCTTCGTGGATGCTCTGAAGAGTGAAAAGATTGGCTCAAGTAGATAAATCCTCGGAACTCTGGACATCTCACTTGGATGATTCTTTGCCATGCTGCTCCTGGCCGTACTACAAGGAGCAAGGATGGACTGCTAGCTAGCATTCTTGCTACTGGTTAATCCAGGATCATCAGCACCAGCCCGACCAGCCTCATGGGTCTCGAAGGAGAGCATGAAGACCCCGTAGCCTTCGGTGTCGAAGATCCCAAAGCCTTGAAACCAACTCCTGTGTCGAAGAGCCCCGTTCGTAGCGTCCATGCTCCGTTCGTAGCGAAGAAGAAAAGCAACAGCCATCAAACACACATCATTATCCCAAGGTTCAAACAGAAGCACACCGGTGGGTTGCAACTAATTGATGAGAAGCGCCCAAAAGCTCGTAAACGAAACCAGGAAGAATTATCTGACAGTTCTTGGCCTTTCAAATCAACAACCGTTGCAAGTCTACGAGCAATGTCCAACGAAAAAAGACCGATCACACGGGCGGCCGTCTGGGTTGGACAAAGCAACTCTACCATGAAGGTTGTATCTTTTCAGAGTGGGGGTGGTGTTTGTGCAGTGTGAGCGCAAAATCCTGCGAAATGTTAGCAGGGATTCTTTGCCCGGTTCAGTGACAAAACTCAACCAACGGTTGTTTGGAATCGGTTTGACTCAAGCCATACTCTTCTGAAAAGTACTCTTCTGAAAAGTAGACAAAGCATCGTTACTAGGAACAAGAAGCTACTTGGGGGGTCCTGGCATCGCTACTAGGAGCAAGGACGCTACTAGGGGCTCCTGGCCTTACTAGGAACAAGGACGCTACTAGGAACATGTGTAAAGGAACCCCTTTTCCTCTTGTTTTTGGACCGACCAGAGGCCCCAGGCTGTTGCTGGCAGCATCCACATCGAGGCACATGCCTTGGTCAGGTGGGCGATCCTTCTGGGCATTTCTTTTTTGCCTTTCCTGTAACTCATGATCTACTTGGAATCAAAACACACTGATTAATTGTCTCTATAATTTTTGGCACACCAGCCAAAGCTACTGGGAGGTGCTAACTGATTAGCCAAGCAGGATCAACAAAGGCAAGTACGCCCAGGCAAATCGGACACTCCCTGATTTCTTGGCACATTGATATGTTGTACTGATTTGATGGGTACAGGGTGAACAGGGTGGAGAACTTCCACTGAGATGCCTGGGATGGGATGAAGGCAAGGGGATGTCCAACCGAACACTCATTGATGTCTAGGTTCGTTCCTGGTATCGAACCTCAAGATCCATGTGATGTCTGCCTTTTCCACCTTGACATCCTTGAAACAAACACATTGTTTCACAAACACTTGAACTGCCTATCAGCCTGCCAGAACCCCAACAACACGGAGCCGCCCTTTTTTCGAGCGAACCTCGGGTTCGTGCGAGCCGAGCCATCGGCTCTCTCGCCACCTCCGAGCTCTGTACATGAAGAGATCGACTGGGCCATCGACCGCGGACGACCGGTGATCCTGGAAGCCTTCTCCAACAGACAAGAAGAAGGGTTCAACACAGGCGATCAGTTTTGAAAAAAACCCTTCGGATTTTGACATCTTCCTTTCATTCCCAAGATCCTGACACCCAGTCCGATTTTGATAAATCTTGCACTGCTCTTGAGCATCAACACAGCCTTCCCTGGCCAGTTGTTCCTCTTGTGTTTTCGGCAATGCCACGGTCATAGACCGGCAAAACTGAAAAATCCCAGGAAGCATCACGCCATATCTTCCTGAAGTCCTGCCTCTTCTTTCCTGATCTCTTTTTAAGTCTTCTCATCCTTCAACTTTACAAAACCTTTTAGTTGCAATTCCTGTTCGTTCCACAACTGATCTGTCAGCATTTTCCTGTGATCTTTCAGCAAAATCTCGACTTCTCGCCTCAGGCGCTGTCTCGTAAAATGCCCTGGGTCCAATTCGCCAAGGTCTGTGCAACCTGACCGCCAATGGCCGCCACCTTCTTGCTCTTCACGAAGTACTCGTTCACCAGGTGGCTCAAACCTCGAAGTGTCTTTGGAAACAACCCGCTCAGTAATCAGTTCTTCTTTTCAAAAACAAACAACAGTAGTTCAACTTGTCTTGACTTTACTTTCTTTCATTCTCTAGACCAATCTTTCTCCTTGTTCTTGGATGGGGCTATCTAGACCTTGAATGGGCACTGATGGTGTGAAGTCCTGATTCAAAGCTCCACAGGTGCTGGCACAGATTCCAACTAAAGGGACCAGCACACCTGCGCAAAGAAAATCACCAGGGGAACACAAATAAGAACCATTGCTGGTATTTGTGTGGTTTGTCTGATTGAAAGATCAACATTGGCCCACAAGCTCCAGGTCCATGTCCAGGAGCATGTTTCTCGGCAAGAATAGATCTCGTAACAGAACAAGTCAGGTTCCAATTGCCATTCTCCTGAAAGCCAGTGGCCTTTTTTGACTCTTGCATTCATTTTGCGCGCTTCACTTCTGCACTTTGGACAGTTGTGCTGCTGGGTCCCCACCACCTCCCGGAACGTGGTGTTTCTCGCGGAGTCGTGTCGTGTCTGTTTGGATGCATCACCGAGAGGCCCAAGCAAATGGCCAAATAGGCGGGGAAGAAGCTGTGCGGCATGGGCTTCCCCCAGAGCTTCTTGGCGATCACCTGGATGGACGGCATCTGTGGAGATCGGTGATGGACGGCTTTGGTGTTCTTCCCCCCACCGAAGCGGTTAGCTGAAGATGGTCTGGCAAAGGACCATTGGAGGCTGGGGCAGCTATGGATGACCAGGGGATGGGAATTTTGGACCTGTGGTCTAATTGACTCTCCTGCTTGCGATCACCATTTTGATGGGTGGCTATCGTTGGGAGTTCATTCTCCTGCGCAGGTACAGTTCCATCTTCACCGGTGGAGTCACATGACCAATCCTAGTCCCAGCCCATCAGTGCAGTTTAACTGGAACGTGCCAATCGTTTCTACCAGTCTTCCCAAGTCTTGACTCAACAGTTCTTTGCGCACTAGGCGCAAGAAGCTACTAGAAACAAAGGGCATCGCTACTAGGAGCAAGGACGCTACTAGGGGCTCCTGGCATCGCTACTAGGAGCATTCTTACTACTAGTAACAAGAAGCTACTAGGAACTTTCCCGTTCGTTGCTCCAGTTCATTCGCCTTCTTGTAGAAGATCTGACCAATGGGCCCATGCACAATGAACATGGGAAAGGCCAGGGAGCCCAGTGTGGCCTCAAGGCGAACCAAAACGAAAGTGACCACCGGATCGGTGCGAGGATGAGCTTTGCACATCCATCGAACTGCCACGCAAAAGAGCAAAACGTCCAAGTTCTTGTGCGCTGACTGGCTTCTTCGAGCCTCATCTTAGATTTCGCAGCTTCCCACGCTTTCTTTTGGGCTCCCAGTCTCAGCACCCTCCTGCCCCTAGTCCCAACCGAAGAACCCGAAGGATACTTTTTCTTTCGAGCTTGGTCTGCTTCTAGGAGACGCCTCTTTAAACAGACATTGTTGTATCCGGCTCAAGTACTCCAGAGACTCGTCACGTCATGTGGAGTACTAAAAGGTCTTCATATCTGCGACATCCGACACATTCAACTAACTCATTGCCTTACCTACGAGACCGACCGACTGACCTACCTTTTTCCTTTGAGGTCTAAGAGGCCATCGGCTTGGACCCAAAGAACTGGGTGATCGCCGAGGGGGAGCTGCTCAGGGCGTCCCGGTGCATGGCCTCTCGCGGTGGAGCGTACTCCGTGGTGCTCCGTGGTGCTGTCAAAAACGAAGAGGTTCCAAAGAAAAGAGCTACTAGTAACAAGAGAAAGAAAAGAGATGAAACATGGACATCGAATAGCGATGGGCCTCCATCCTAGTAGCGATGGCCTCCAACCTTCTGTTTCAAGATGTTTCACCGGCGAAATAAGAACGCATTGACAAAAACGTCCTTTGATTTATTCGCTGGTCACGTTGCTTAGGTCCCTCTTTGAAGGCTCAACGCGCTGCAGAAACGTCGTGTTAGATCCCATCATGAGGGAAAGAACTATGAAGCCTTGTCTGACTCTGGGTGAACAAGAAGCTACCAGGGGCTCCTGGCATCGCTACTAGGAACAAGGAGGCTAGGGTACACAACAAATCATGCCGTAAATCCTTTCTGGCTGCCATGTCTGCCAGCGAATGCCGGAAGCTGACTTGACGAACAAGCACGGCTCAGATCCCAGATCTAAACCGGGTGAATTCTCCTGAATTCTCTGGGCCCTTTCGGCTTCTACTAGGTTGGAGGCCATCGCTTGTAGGGCGGAGGCCATCTCGATTAGGTTCCATTGCTATTAGGTGGAGGCCCTAAGATTGGAACACTATGCCTTCAGGAACTTCGTGAAGAGGGGCACGAAGAGCACACCGCGAATGATGGCATCATTGAAGTCAAACCTCACCAACTTCAATGCCATCATTGAAGTCAAGGGCTTGCCAACGGCAACCGCGGAGCCGGAACCGGAGAGTCGGAAACGACAAAGCTAAGCCACTCAAAGCCCAGGGCTCGCGGCCTCGCCTGTGAACTTTAGGGTGAATATGTAGAATTGGAATCGAGAAGCATCGAGCTAAGGGGAAATCAACGAGCCCATAGCTGAACAACCCGGGAATCTGTCACCCTGAGAGACCTCTCGCCATGAGCTCCTAAACAACAAACACCTTTGTCAAGCGGCTGTGTGAGACGCAGCAGCAGCGAGGAGTAGGCAGCGACGAAGAGCCACAAAGGGTTCATCGGCTGCTTCTTCTTGTCCTCTCTAGGGGCTCTTGGCAGCGCTACTAGGAGCAAGAACGTTACTAGGAACAAAGGGCATCGCTACTAGGAACAAGGACGCTACTGGGAACAAAGGGCATCTTTACTAGGAGCAAGGACGCTTCTTCTTCTTCTTGTCCTCTCAGCGGTTCACCGAGCTCCGAGTTGGGGGAGACCCAATGACTGGACAGTCATTGGAGTGGTTAGAGTTGTGTTGGACCCCCAATTCAACACGAAAGAAAGCAACAAACAGTTTGGCTTGTTTTAGCTTGGTGTTTTGGAGATGTGACCAGCAAAGACGGTTTTCTTGATGTTCCTGGACCTTTTTGCACGGTAACTTGGAGAAGAAGCCAGAGTGGGTGGGGGTGACCTCTGCAACAGAAGAACCATAGCCGCGTTCCGTTCGTTCGCTTTCTTGGTGCCTCTTCCGTGTCGAGCATGACGTGGCGCACGGCGACAATGCCCATGGTCATTTCCATCAAGGCCCAGAAGGGATGGAAACCTTCGGCACAAACCGAAGTCGGTACGGAGTCGCTTGTAGGTTGGAGGTCATCGCTTTTAGGATGGAGGCCATTGCTAGTAGGTTTGCTCTTTTTATCTCTTTTCTTTCTTGTAAAGTTATTTTGTATACCTTCGGCGTAGATACGGAGTCGGTACTGCCGTTGGCAACGCTTTGTTGCGACGCTTGGCGATTTGGGAGGTGGGCTCTGGACAGTGATTGAATGAACAGTGATTGATTGACTTCTGTCCCATGTGCGCGGGATTGGAAGAATTCTCTGGGGGGCTACATGGCCAGGCTTGTGCATTTGATGATTTGCGAGGGTCTCAGCAACAGTGGATAATGATTGGAGCCATGCGTCACTATACCAAGCAGGAGATGCAGCTTCCAAATGGCCCAAATGATTTGCATGAACAATGGACCATCAGCTGATTGGATGCTACGACCCAATGCAATCAGCCATGCTATGACCTTCAGGCATTTAACATTACCAGGTCTTTTCTCGGAGTAAGCCTTGGCAAAAACGACGCCTGTCAGATGCCTGGACCTTCCACAAATTCAAGTGGAGTGCTACCGTGATAAATGAAAAAGTGTTCCTTTGCACAATGCTTTGATAGTGGTAGAGTGGGTAGAGAGGTTCGTCCA